GGATTGAGACTAGTAGGAGTTTTGTATGGAATGAGTATGGTTATGTGTGTCTGTGATTATGAATGTAAGTGAATATTTGGGAAATGATTACCCTTTGTTTTATGTTACATTCTTCTGAACTGAATGAAAGTAAATAAATGTATGACGTGGATGATTTTCTTAATCATGAGCGTATGTTTAAGACGAGTGGCTGGTTTTTTTGGTTTTGTCTTGCTTGGAAATTGTAGAAAGTGGCAGAAGTGTTTCTGATTTGTCTTCAGAAAATTTGTGGGTATTGGGAATGTTTAGCAAGAAAATTGCATGAAGAATTTAGGGAAATTTTTCAAGTATATACTATTTATTTATGTATCTGTCGGAGATTAAAATTTGCAAGGGGATCGGGATGTCCATTGTCAGACAATCGCAGGTGACAACCACGATTGTCACACATTTTACGTTCGTACATTTGAAAAAGTAAAATCAGAGCATTAATTATTCTCAAACATTTGTTTCCACAATCTGCACACTATTAATCTCGAATGCTACGCGACTGCTTCGAAAAGAATGATCCGAAAATTCTAGAAAACGTAATTTTCGCTGCGAGAGCAACGCCAGCGAGAATTGGATTACATTTCTGTCAGTTGATACCTCGTCGGGTCGTTCGTCACTCAAAAATAAATATTCTTCGCTTGTAGTATGCTGGAATATTTTCCTTTTGTTCTGATTGTTACCTATCACTCACGTGTTTTTGAAAGGGAGCAGTGAAACGGAGAACAAAAGGAATTAATGGAATCAGAACGGCGTGCAACGTCGATGATTAATAACAACTAATTCATCCGTACATAATAATCTAAACACCACAAACTAATCGATCAATACATTTCCCAAAGAACTGTTATTTTATTATTATTTTATATTATTATAAAATACCAAGTTCTGCTTAGAAAATTCTAAACAGAAAATTCTAGTAACTAGTCAAACAAACTACAAAAGAGATAAACAAATTAGATAATAAATTTCTTTTAGTAGAAACAGAAGCAAAAGAAACGATGAAAATTGAGAAATCAATTAATTGGACAATATAGGACATCAAATTAAATAAACAATAGAAAGAATTTTCAATCCGGTCATTTGACGATTAACATTTTGACCGAAGCTTTCAAATGACAAGAAAATAATTATAATATATAAGGTAACTGATTTCGAACACAAATTTCTAAAGTAAATAAATAGATAATAGGGCAATATAAGAATTTTCATATCAGAAAGAATAAATAATTCATGCTTCGCATCTTAGCTACAGAAATGATAAGTGACACATAAAACGCTGACGTTTTCCGTGGCAGTCGATACGTTAATGACGATAAATGTTTCTGTAAAACCGAACGACTCGGTCATAACCAGATTGCTTGGCACGAGAGGGACGGCGGAGTCATCGAAGCGCCGCGCGCATTCTCGAATGTGTTCACAGCTGACTTTAAACGGCCCCGTAAATCGATAGAGAAACACGGAAATACTGTGCCGGCCTTCGGTCTGCTTACATGAATTTCCTGGCATTAGCGGACCCCCTTTTGTTCATGTTAGCCTTCTTTGTTAACGCTTTCATGACTGATGGGAACAATACAAGCCGAGGAAACTTTTTCGAAAATTATTATACCCGGCCGTTAACGTCTCTGTTTATACGCAGTTACATTTACATCGCCTTCGCTCCGTGTACTGTTCGAAAAATAATCATCGCTTCGTTAAATAATGAACACTGTTTCGAAAGGATTAACCCTTTGCACTCGACAGGTGATTCTCAATCACCACTTGATTTCATACAGCAAAACTATGAAGTTGAATATTTAGTATTCTAAATGAAACTTTATACTGTTATGTGAAATATTTAAATAAAGTAGCTTTGTTGCTTAATTCATCTGTGAAGTATCGTTAAACTCGTTTCAAACGATGACGTCTATCGTCGGAAAATGTTGAATATTTCCAGTGAAAAACTTTCGAGTGCAAAGGGTTAACATCTTAGAAGCATTCAATAATTGAATCGATCTTGAAAATAAATAGTTTCATTTGAATACTATAATGAGTGTCTAAAAGACTGACAATAATCGATTGAATTAAATTATTATTACTGCACGTTCATCTAACTGAATGTCATCGCATTAGGTAGCATTATGTACAATATAGAAATGTTTCCAAATAATCATCGTTTAATTGAGTGAACTATAGTAATTCGAGTTGGTTGGGGGTCAGCGGTGACCCACACGGCATTCAACGTGTTAAATTTCTCATCGGCTCGCACGCTGGCGTTCCAAACATTTCGATGAATCAACGTTCGCGAGCATTTTATCCAACAGCGTCGGCGACGTTGGCTCGAATGCAGTTTTCACGATGACTAAACGATCCTTTGACTGCCAATAATTATACAGTACAAGTTGAATAATTTATTAAACAATTCCCCCGCGGTGAAAACTTGAAACCGAGGCATTTGCATGTTATCTTAACAGCGGGCGTTTCGACACGGAATTACACGAAAGAAAATTAACCGGAGCTCTACTTCCTGCTCCAGGACGTTAACTCTTTTGATAGCGAGTATAAACTCGAACTTTACTCAAATCCCTCTTACGCAGTAAGTGCTACAGATAAAAAGGCTGCTATAAACCCGAAACTTCCGCAATACAACGGTTAACGTTATTACACGAAAGTCCGATGGAAATTCCGAAGAAATCTCAGTCCGAGTCCAGAATCCCACTTAATTTCACAAAACTCAGCTCGGACTCTCGTACACTAATTACTCCGAAGGAATCGATTAATTCTGTACACTGATCACGTTTCCTATAGTCCGCAGTCCGTGAAACCCTACGATAACGCATCGGTTTCGTTTATCGCATCGGTGACGTCGCGATTGACAGTGCGCGCGTCGGAGCCGGGTTTCGTCAGCCGAGAAGTCAGCTGGCGAAAACGAGGATTACGTACCGGCTGGATCGAAGAGCGAGGCTCTGAGAGGAGCGAAGAGAGATCTCGGATCGATAAACAGACGCACGGTCGGACCGTGACGCGGCGCGCGGGACCCGTGGCTCGATCCCCAGACGGATCAAGAAGACGTGCGCCGTGGTCAGTCGACGACGTAACACTGGGAGGCCGAGAGAGTTCGGCTGAGTATATTTAAAAAGGCAGAAACGTAGCCGCGTCCGTGTCCGCCTGACAGGCTGGCACCGTGGCAATACTACTGGCACCGTCCGTCCGTCCGCTCGGCCGCCGGCGAGCACATGCACGGCCGGCGTGCGTTCTCGCCGTTACGAATTCGGTATAAATAGACCGCGGATTATTATGCATTTTTGGGAAATTTCGAGTCACCGCTGCACTCGATGCGCCGAGCGAGAGGGAATATCGAAGGTATTGTGGGTTTTTGAAGGGAAACATTGTGTATTGTGGGGTTTTTTGATTATGGAGATGGTTGGAAAGACAATGTTACATTGCATGTGTAGAATATTGTACGGGTTATTGCGTATTTTTGGGAAATTTGGAGTTATGGCGCTGCAATCGATGTGCTGAATAAGAGGAAATATTGAAGGTATTGTGGGCTTTGTGGTTTTTGCTGGGAAACAACGTTTATTATTGGATTTTTTTATTATGGAGATGGTTGAAGAGGTAGTGTTAAATTAGATGTATATAATATTACAGGGGTTATCGTGAATTTTTGGGGAAATTTGGAGTTATGGCGTTGCAATCGATGTGATGAGTGAGAGGCAATATTGAAGGTATTGTAGGCTTTGCGGTTTTTGCTGGGAAACACCGTTTATTATTGGATTTTTTGATTATAGAGATGGTTGAAGAGATAATGTTACATTGGATGTGTAGAATATTACGCGGGTTATTATATTTTTGGGAAATTTTGGACAAAGAAATCGGACAATTTTGAGGTTGAATAAAGATTCGTGGTTTAGTTATAAATATAATGGAGCGAGGGAGGACGTCAGCAGGGGGATCGGAAGTGTCAGCGATACGTAAATCACGGTCGGACGTCGCGGATTTTCGAGAACTTCCATGAATCAACGTTAGGGGCGAGATACAGTTGACGATCGTGAGTCAACGGTTCTGTCAAACTGCCTCCTCTTGGAAGTTAACGAGGAGGAATGGGTCGTGTGGTTTGGAGATATGTGATATGAATATTAGATTGACTGGAACTTTAGTCATTCATTTTTTACCTTCAGTCATTTACGTCCAAATTAATAGGCACTGATTGTCCGAGGAACATTTTTTGGATTATTCTTTACGCAGTGTATTTTATTCTGTGTTCTACATTTTTATTTAATTAGATTTAATTAATTCTATCGAATCAAGTTTTTAATTAAAGTTTCCTTCTGATGTTTGTAGAATTTATAATTAGCATCATAAACTTCTAGTCACTTTAATAACCAAGAGAAATATTCCGAGACTCATCAGCATCGACATTAAAAATGTCTTAATTAAAGCTGTTAAAGTCTTGACGATCCTAAAGACAGTGCACTGGAATTTTATCGATCGTTACGGAATGATTTCGAATATTTTTATGAATATTTTTAAGTAATAGAACCGCTGAAAATTAAACATTTTCAGAAGACACAGGGATCTCTCGAAATATTTCAGCAAGTTCTTACAATGTATGGAACTTCGAAAATTCCCAGGGAAATACGAAATTTATTCCGAAAATTCCAAAGGACCATCCATTCTAACTCACTGGAATCCTTCGCGTCGATTCCAACGCTCAAAAATTGTATTCCTTTAAAAAGTAGTTATCGATTCATTACATTATCATTTCATTCCCACGAGGTGAACGGAAAAATTAAAATTAAACTCTCCAAGTGCTTATAGACGAGCTTCCGATTAATATCGCTTCCAAAAGTTTTAAAGAACAGTTTCCAGTCTAAGTGCATTATAAAATTAAAAACACAATCAGCCTGAATTCAATTTCAAGAGCAAACAGTTCAGGTCTCGGGTAAAATGATCGTGCTCCGTCCAATAAATTTTTAAGAAGCTTAGAAATCATGCCGGCAGATTAATTTTCACAATTTTAATGGAACTCTTCATGAATTTTGGTAGTAATCTCCCAGATACTCGAAGAACCTTTCATTTTTCGAAAAGATCCCCGGAAACTGCAGGACGGTGATGATGCGACGGAGAGATCATGGGACACACTCCGTTCACGGTGAATCGCGGTCCGCCTGAAACCGAACACCGGTAACTGAGCCACCGTGTCTCCGCTATCAGCGATGTTTAGCGTGACAAGCGATTTTTGCGTAACGATCTCGTGACTCCGCGCGTAAAACGTAAAACAATACTGACAAACGTTGCGCGACTTCGGTAGAGCATTCTAATTATCTCAAATCTACCTCCATTCGACGAAATAATCATTAAACAAATTTCTCAACGACGCAGTATGTTCACAAACAAACTTTACGAGAACATTCCTCACAGCAATATAAATAAAAAATCAAGAACAAAAAAATTACAAATTCTTCTTGATTTCCGAGTTATCAACGCTTAAACGTTCACACTGACCTACCTCAAGCGCGCCGCTATTGCGGAGGGTCACGCGGAGTAACCTCTAACCCTCAATAACTCGACAACCAAGCGAAAATCGCAAATTTGTTACTCTTGACTTCCGATTTGTATCGCGATAAATAATCACTCTACAAATTTTCTCCAACTTTCACACACTTCGTTGCTCCATTAAAATTCCATGCTTCAATGATTCCTATTAATTAATCTCATATCACCTATTGAATTTTGTAAGCATTACTTGGTACACGTTTGGGATTTTTATTATTTATTAAGTCCACTCTCGAATTTCGAAGATCTACATGAACGGACAACAGTTTTCCCAAGAACAATAGAAGAAACTGTACAGTAAACGTCGGTAAATCTATCGTTAATTACTTCTGCGCCAGGATCTCCGAATTCCCCGAATTCCTGATGGGAAATCGCGGTAGCTCTTTTACTCGAGAAAGTGGTAATCAGGTTTTCGAAGTTCGGCGCCCCGAAAGCGATCAATCCACGAACTTCACTCTTCGACGTCGGTTTCCAGCGGCCAAAAACCGTCTCCGGAAGCCGTCCGAACGAAAAGCCAGACCCCGCTCCCCTCCGCCGCCCGCCGAGACCGCGCCGAGTGCGACACAAAAGTCGGCTTCGATTAATTGATGGGCGGGCGCCGGTAATTCGATTCCGCGGATCGATCTTCGGTGTCTCGCATCGATCACCGTGCAACCGAAGACGCTTGATCTTTCGATGGCCGTTGTTTGCCCGACGCGAGTCGCGTGTTCTCGCGGGTACGATCCGTCAGGATCGCGTCCCGATCGACACCTTGATCGAGATCGCTCGGTCGCGCTCCGGTAACGAACAGCCGGCGGCGCCGGTGATCGCCGAGATCTTCGGTTCAGGGTATTGATTCCTCGCTTCGTATGAATGCGCTATCCTTGGAGCTCCTTTGGTAAGAATTTTTATTGAAGAATTTATGAAATTGCGTACACATACCGCGAGGAACGTTTATAACTGATCGAGGAAACGCGTTTGTACAGTGTTCGTTGGGTTTTCGGTGGTAACCCTTTCGAAGATTCTTCGAAATATACGAAACCTTCGACGTATGCAGCTGAATTATCAACTGCTCGATTAACCCTTTGCACTCGAGAGGTTACATATCAATCGTATTAAATCCTCGGTAGTTCTAGCGTTAAGAAAACTACCTCAAGATTAACAATGTTATAACATTCCTTAGACCTTTAATTCCCTTCTTAGTACAAACTTCGTATATTCGGAAGATTTAATGATCTCAGCAACTTCTAGCAATTTTGATAGTAGTTCTATTGAAAATTAACAATGTTATAACATTCCTTAGACCTTTAATTCCCTTCTTAGTGCAAACTTCGTATATTTGGAAGATTTAATGATTTTCAGTGGAACTACTATCAAAATTGCTAGGAGTTGCTGACACATCACAAGACCATCCGAAGTGCTAATAGACAATTTTTCTACACCCTGTAGTTCCCGCTCCGAGGATAATTTAACGGGAGGGCGAATTAGAAGCCGATCCCCTTGGTTAATCGCGTCTCGTCTGCTCCGTATCGTGACGACGCCCGCGGCGTCACGTACACGCGCGTCTTCGCGCCGGCTGATTCCGCGTCTCCTCGCTTACATAATCGCGTGTACTCCCCGGCTGAGCCTCGAGGTCTTGGCTCCCGATAGAGCTGCACGCGGAGTGATTCACCTCGGGCAACCGATAAAGGCCTCCGCCTCGTAAACAAACGCGCCGCCGCCGCCGCCCGTCTCATCAGCCTCGCGACGACTTTTCCAGAGCGCATCTGTTCGTGCGGAGATGCACGTCGCAGCGTCCTCGGGTCGTTTCAGGCTGCGTTTACGCCGCAACTTCGTCGTTAGCTAACACAGCGTCGATTATAGTGTCGGTGAAAGTTATTTAACCCTTTTCACTAGAAACATTCCATATTCTCCGATGAGATACAGACGATGTCCTTTGAAACTAATTAACAAGGAAACATGTATAAATTGAGAAGGAAAGTTATTTTATTCCAATATTCCATATATCGATGCATCATACAAAGCTTCATATTATATATAAGGCTTTATAATTTTCCAAATCAAATCAAGCGGTGACTGAGATGCACCTCTCGAGTGCAAAGGGTTAACCCTTAGCACTCCACATAGTTTTCTGATGTGTCGGCAACTCCTAGCTATTTTGATAGTAGTCCTAGTGAAAATTAACAATGTTGTAACATTCCTTAGACCTTCAATTCCCTTTTCAATATAAACTTTGTATATTTGGAAGATCTAATAATCTTGAAGTAGTTTTCTTAACACTAGAACTACCGAGCGTTTAATACGATTGATATGTAATCTCTATAAAAATTGTAACAGATTATTTTCAGTTTCTTTGGATACTCATCATAGTACTCAAGTGAAACTATTTATTTTCAAAATCATTTGAAATATTCAATACTTTTAAGATATCGATAATTGCGAAGTTATTATAGCTATATATTATAATTATTGTAGTTATAATTATTACACTTAGGTAGTTCTAGTGTTAAATTTGACGATGAAATTTCATTCTTGCAATATGTTTTACTACGAGGGAAAGAGTTGTTAGAGGAATCGTGGGAACGTATCCGTTTTCTGAAAGAACAAACTTGGAGTTTGATCAATTTTGTAGACGGTTGTATGCATAACGT